ATTAAAAGAGCTAATATCAATGCAGTTATAACAAAGTAGTTATTATTTAAATTGACTTTCTGAGAATTCAGCAGACTGTGCTGTAGCATTCTAGACAAAATTTTAGACATAAAATTAAACAATGTGGATGGTCCATGAGTAATAAATGAAACTAATCTAGCCAGAGGAACACAAGGAGAAAATAGATGCTTCGAGTCCTCCCTGCTTTGTTCTGGAGTTGATAAAGTAGAATTTTTATGATGGAAATAAAATGGCAATAAAAATATAGTTTAGGATCAGAGATACTGTAAATCTTATGATTAGAAATATTATTTTATACTTTCCCAAATATGAAAATTTTATTACTTATTTAATCAAATAAATCAACTCAATAAATGTTACTGCTTGCCACTTTTTAACACATTTCACTGAAGGTTCCCTGCATGCTTTATAAAAAAACTGTGACAGCAAACTTCTGGGTGAAAAGTGAAAGCAAGTCTTCATCCATGGGAAGAATTCAGCTAACAAACACGTTGAATTTATATAACGAGAGATACATAATATAAAAAAATTACTGTGTTATCTATCAGAAGGCAAACCCTGACCCCTGTTATTCTCAGTAACTTTATAGAAGTCATCATTGTTGTGAAAGGGGGATATGTAATATCAGAATCAGGTTCAATGTCATTAGTTGTATTTTCAGGTAGGAGTGGAAAGAGAGGGCTAACTACAAGACAAAGATCTGTGAAAAGATCTGTGTCACAAGACTGAGCAGCCTATACCTGATAAAGCCAAAACAAGTCTGTGAGACAACATAGCTAAGAACATAGCTAAGAAGTGGAAAAACTCTGTAATTTGGTGATTTTAGCAGTTGGAAGTTTCTTTGAAGAAAACACTGCATCATTTAGAAAAAATAAGGCAAAGACAGAAATATAATGATGTTGACATTCACATTTAAAAATGCAGATGCTATACATGGCCATGGGCAAAGCAGAGGTGTTACGTTTCATCTAAGGCTTCTTATTCCTACTCTTGTATCCTTTCTTTGGATTTATCTTACCCCTTCAGCAACCTTCTGTATATCACCTCCACAAATTTCCCTCTTCACTTCCAACCAGTTTCTCTCTACCCAATTTTAAATCTTAAGTCTATTATTCCAACTATTTCTCCCACTGCCAGATGAAATACAAGGTGGCTCACTAAAACGGAGTTCCTGGTTTTCTTTTCCCAAACATCTCTTGCTATGACAGGCAGAATTACCCCTTCAGCAACCTTCTGTATATCACCTCCACAAATTTCCCTCTTCACTTCCAACCAGTTTCTCTCTACCCAATTTTAAATCTTAAGTCTATTATTCCAACTATTTCTCCCACTGCCAGATGAAATACAAGGTGGCTCACTAAAACGGAGTTCCTGGTTTTCTTTTCCCAAACATCTCTTGCTATGACAGGCAGAATTTCACCTCTTTTTAGCAACAGTAACTGAGGAAAATGAAGGCTGCTTGGGCAGAAGCTACTCCTCTGTGCTAGTTTTTAACTCAAACTATTGCTCTTCTTCCAAATGTGCTGAGACAGAAACACTTTTCCAAGGCTTCTTCGTTTAAGAAGAGAGATTGGCTGAACAAAATAAAATAAAATAAAATAAAATAAAATTAAATTAAATTAAATTAAAAAAAATAGGTGATCAGGCTCCTCTTTATTTATCTAACCTAACACCGGCTCTGTAAATCACACCCTTCAGCTAGAAAGAATATCCCCAGAAATATAGGGTAGCCCTTAAAATCATCTACAATACAAAAGAGGTAACAACAAAAAAAGCTTGAGTTATCTCTTCTTCCTCCTTACATTTTGCATCAGCATTACTTAATCTTTTCATGACAGGAGTGACATATCCTCTGTGCCACTCTCCCTACAAGCAGTAAGCACAGCAAAATTTCTAGTAGCAAAGAACTTACATGGCAATATACATAATCACATGCCTCAAGAAAACACGCCTATTTCTTTTAAAATACTATTAGGCCCTCCGATTTCATGAGTACTTACACTTGTAAATGCATGAAAGTGTAATACTTTTAATAATAGTTTTACAGCGAAGGATTCCTGAAGCAGTCATGAAAACCTTACTACGTGATTTTTTTTTTTAATTGGTAGCAATCAGCTTTTCTTTTTGATCTGTGTAAGAAGCATGAGGAAAAACAACATAGTGCAATTGGTATGGTATACGGGCCATTATTCTACAGTCAGATTCAGAACACTGGTACCAATCTTTTCTTTGAAAAAAATGCGAATGATCTGATTTCTAAAAATAATATGTATCATGTATTATTTGCTTAAAATCAAATATACAAAAAACCTAGGGCAATGGTGAAATCTTTTTTTTAAGAAATCTATGTTTCCTTTGAAATCTAAGATGTCAAGAATGTTTGCGGTTTAAAAATAAGCTTACTCTTTAATACAAGAGTCTTCTAATGTCAATGACAGAATAATTTGATGGTAATATACAATCAAATCACAGAAGTTGATATGCAGAAAAAGTAACTAATACTATTTATTTTTAGCTTATACCCTCTTCTGCAGCATTCTTCAAGATTTTTAATTGTACTGAGTGTGAATACTCCTAGGAGGAGATTAGCATGTAAATAAAATTGAACTGTATTACATCAGACAGTACAGGAAAGGTGAAATTAACACCATGTGTGTCATCCCCCTCCCCGTCCCCCTTACCAGTATTTGCCCATTCACTCTGATTAGGGTCATGATTTAACAGGAATGTCCTTAACCACATATTTGGTACTCTTCTGTAGAGTGACAGATTTAAACAAATATTTAGCTACTGCTCTAAATCTCGGATGTATGCATTTCCAAGAAGACATAATACAAACTGTGCTTCAGTTCTATGCAGGCACAAAACAATATTTGCTTAATTTCAGCCCTAAGAAAACACCCTTCTTCAGATTTTACATCTCAGACTGCAAGATCACAGACTACACACCATTTATTCAAGTCTGGAGTACAGTTAAAGGATAAGTAAATTTTTGGAAACTCACAAATTTACTGTTTTTTTTTTTTTGTAAAAAACAACATATGAAGTGTATTAAAAGAAGTTCTTCATTTTCTGATATACACTGCAACTTGTTCTCTGCTTTTTTTCCCCAGGGGGGTTAAAATCTGTTGATAGCAAGAGTAGGGACATAACAGCAAATTTTGCTGCTGTCTGGGAGACCTGGGCTTTGTGAATGATCTTAATTTTCTTTCTTCCTCAGCCAATAAAGACAAAGCAAGTGAAAAGGGGGGAAAAAAATCTATACACATTAGTTCCTGCCAAACCGTGCAGGAGCAATGTTGTAAAACAGTCAGAATCCCTCAGGAAAACCTGCTAGATCATTTGGTTCTTTCTTCCACTTGATGCAGGTTCATCTCTTTCAACTTCTTTCACAGCAGTGACATAATCCAGTTTCAAGGAACTCAAGTCAAAGCATTGATCCCACTTTTCAGATGCTATCTAACACTTCTATAACACTCCCAGAATAACCTGGCTTTATTGTTGCCACACAAGGAATTGGGAAGAAGAGCCATATCTGTAATAAAGAATGTGCAACGTATGACTTCTGTGCAATCTAACCCAATACTAACATAGACTAGAGTCAGGCACTTTGGAAACAGAAAAAAGAAATAAAAATAAAAATAGAGGAAAAAAACCCTCAAAACCAGGAAGAAGGAGCAGGTGATGTGACTGTCAAAAGCAGAAGAAGTGAGCAATAAAGGTCCATGTTGTGGTGGATGTGTCAGAAACTCTGAATGCATAAAGATAAATCAGTGCTACACAGCAGTCTATGAAGGATGAACAAACAGGAAAGAAAGCAGGGGGCAAGGGAGAAGAAATCAGAAGAGAGAAGGTCTTGACCTAGCAATACCTAAATCAACACAAAATCAAGAGACAGAACAAGAATCTGAGGATAACGCAAGAACCCAGATCCCTGTGATGGTGACCTGGCACTACTCTGCCTGTGCTTCAGAGTTTCACAGTAAGAATAGCTATTTGCCCTCACCGTGGGGATTCCCTTGCCTTTAAGCACCAGCTGGTGAGCAGACCGTGTCTCCTCAATAAACAGCCCAAGCTGATGAGAGTTAGCAGCTCTCAGCTGTCAAGCAACAGTGCAAGGGCCCAATTTGACTTTGAGATACAGACACACAGCATCAGAGGATTCAAATAAGATACACATTTAATATCACTTACCTAGCTGACATGACCCAAATTTCTCCTCCAAAATGAATGACTTTTTCTCTAATATGAAATAAAATATATTGCTAAAACCAGAATTTGCCCTATTGTTAGAAACCTGCAAAGTTTTAATTAGTCCTCATTTACTGTTCTCCTAGCTCATGGTCAGATTTGTTGCAATTTCTGCAAAGCAATTCTACTTCTACAAAAAGATGACAAAGCAATGGATTAATTCACAATAATGGACTTTGGCAAATGAAAAGGGATACTGAAACATCTCTTATTATTCCAGAACGGCAAAGGAGTGGGAGATGGGTCAATTGGCTTCTCAGCTATATCCTCCCATAAAACATTGGAAAAAAAAATCACTCTAAGCCTGTGAAGATGTACTTAAGTCCTTGTAACACATATGGCAAAAGTTAAATAAATGGGCTGTCTTCTCACAGGAAATTACACTGTTCACCATCAAGCAGAATGTTAAGGAATCCGAGCTTCTCCCCTGCAGAGGGATAATGAACCCATATCATTCCATTTATCATAGTGAAGAAGCACCTAAAAAAGTTACTCTGCAGGTGTGCTCCTTTCTCCACATTTGCACATAATATGTAGTCATAGGTCATCGGCGTACACTTTCAGTTTCAATGGTATCAGATTATAGATAACGGATATTCTTCTAATGTATTAAATCTATCAACTGTCATTTCCTGCTTATTGACGTAACCTTAAAAAGAAGAAAAATATTTTATAATTGTGAGAAATATAAAGCTCATAGCTTGCCTTCTGCAAAGGCCATTTCCTACCTGAAGAAGGAGGTCAGAAGCTGGTTTGACTCTCTGCTGGAAAAGCACACTTAATGTTCGATTCTGTTGTTCCAAATCAAAAACTCTTGTTTTCAGCTTTATACATTCCTCCCTCAGATCCTGCAGCACAAGGGAAAATAGGAAGATTAGAAAGCAGGTAACAGGAGCACTTAAAAAGCTCTAAGTAATGTCAGATACTAAGAAGAAATACATATACAACTTTTAAAATAGTACAAATCAGAAAAATGTGCTACTTCATTTTCTCTGGTTGTTTGATCATCACAGGATAACATTAAAAAAATCTTGTAATGAGAAACAGTAGTTACCTGACACATCCTTTTGGAGTTTTCTGTGAGTATGAAAAGTGACTTTGCTAGCAATGTGTTTCATTTTGCAGCCGACACAAAGCAGAAAGCAGCAATTAAGATACGAATATTGTAATAAGCATAAACTAAGGAAAAAGCATAAGCTATACCAAACCAGGAAGAAGTTCAAAGTGGTACTGTGCCTTCAAGGTACTCTTCTGAAGTCTGATCCCCTCCTTGCTTTTTCTGGAATAACCAAGTCAGCATTTCTGGCTGGCATATTGGGGGTGGTCTGTATCTTCCCCACTGTAACTTGCCACTGTAGAGCTGGCTAGGCCATAGTAAGATGTTGGTGCACCAGACACATGTGGTACTATGATCCTGCCTGTCGTTTCCAACATGAGGTACCAAAAAGCCTTAAAATAGGCCATTAGAAGCAGAGGTGGAGTGTAAAACCTCTGCATCTTAAGGCACAGGACATTACTGTCGAAACTGAAAGATGCAGGTCTTTTAGCCAAGGCTGAGTCAGCATCATCATGAAGGAGCCATTAATGGCTTTCAGATACAGCAAATATCTATCTATCCGTCTGTCTGTCTGTCTGTCTGTCTTCAATGTAAGACCTGCTTTTCCTGGCCACTTGAAGGAATACAGGATTCTATCAGAAAGAGAATTTTGGAGAGAGAACAGAATCTGACACTCAGCCTTTCAGTGTAATTTGTGCAGATGTCCATTTTGAGGTGTGAGAGCTTCATAAATCAGGAAGAGCAGTCTCCTAATAAAGATTACATATAAAAATAGTAAGCTGCAGCCATAAAAAAAAATTAAATCTCCAAAATACTTTCCCATATTCCTTTAAATTTAGGACAGTTGCTGCCCTGTGGTATTGCCTAGCTGATACTACTTTCCACCATATGAAAGTGGAGAAACAGGCCTCTGGATCCCCATATGCTGTCCTGTCAATACCATTATCAACATGGTGACCTAGCCTTATGAGAAAACAACTCAGAGGAGGAAACGGTAGTCAGATGTAGCTTAAATTCTTGCCTACAGTTGCTCTAGTCTCCACTGTAACCAGCACTGAGGTTATAAAAGGTGAACACACAATAAAACAAGCTCATCTTGAGACTTTCAGAAAATTGTGAACATCTTTTTATGCATATAGTATGTATCAGATTTCATGATACTACTGGATAAATGCGGTTATTTTCTCCTGATAGTTTCTTAATATTTGTTTTAGGTGGCTGTCAAGTGGCTGTTCAAGTAAAATTGCTAGAGCCTTCCAACACGACCCCCACAAAATCTTGAGTTTGATGCTTTGTAAAGCCCTAAAGCTTTGATTTCTGTCAGTGAGACCTCTTGTCTCTGGTCTTACACAAGGCAATCTCTGTTAGGAAACTGCAAGCATCAAGACCCATCATTATCTGCCTTTCACAAATAATCAGGGAATTTAAAACAGAGCCTTAGCTGTTACAACAGTTTTTAACATTTCAACACTACTAAGTGCACTGAAAGGGAAAAATTATTCACAGAAACTGACAATGTAGAAAAAATTTAAATCTTAGCAATGCCTCTGCTTAAAACCTTCCTATCTTAAGCTTTAAAACCATAAGATTTATGTTTCAAACTTTAGACTTTCTGTAAAAAGTGAAATATAAGATAGTAGATTACCCGCCCAGATGCTATAAACAGTGCCAATGGTAATGCCACACATAGTCCAGAGGAGAAATGAGGCACATTAAGGTAGCAGTATTCTGGTAAAATAAAGTCTGAGTTTAGAAAGTTGAAGTCCTGAAATTACCAATTAATACAACTACCAAATGTCTGAAGCATGTAATTCCTCTCCTGTGGGCAAAATGACCAGCCATTAGGATAGCAATCTCCCACATATCTAAGGTATTCCTATGGTCTCACTATAGTAATATCCAAGCATCTCTCTATTCTTACTTTTTCTCTTCAGTATGAGACTCACTCTTCTCCAAAATGGGATTCAATTCCCTCATTAGAGGTTCCAGAAATACGCTGCTCTTCCTCTGAAGATGCTTCTTCTGTTTTAACTCTTAATTCACTTCTTTTTTATTTCATTGATGAAAAAGAAGAAGAAATAACTTTCATACAGAACCCAGAGTAAAAAAGTATTCTCCTGAACACACTCCTGTGGAGTGGGGTAATATGCAAAGAGCAGATATATAGATCACAAAACAATTTCATTAAGTGGTGTAACTCAAATTTCAAACTGCTTATCCAGGTCTTTCATGGGGGGGGGGGAATCCAGTCTCCAGCACTCCTATCATCTCATGTGATATGAAAAGTCTTTGGGTGGAAGGAGAAAGAATGGATGCTTCCAGTAAGTATCAGAGCATACAGGTTTGTCTCAAATCATTTTGTTGTTTTTCTGACTTCTTAAATTTCCCAGAGGTAAAATTTGCTATTAGTAAGTGGTAAAAAATCCATATAATTTTGCTACATAGAATTGTGAAATTTTGCTGCGTGGCTAATTCAGCACAAATCTCAATTTAATATACTTTCTCCATAGTCACAGTAAAAATAAGCCTCATATTAGAGAAATTCTATATGTACTGTAACAAATTATATACTTGAAAAGTGCACATTTAAGACTGTAATTCCATTTCAAGGTTTCAGTGACATTGATAAATCACTCAAGCTTTGCTCACTCAATTTGTGTCACCAGAATCTCTCAGTGGAATCACAGTCCTTCCACATACTGGCGAGTACACAGTGCTTTATTTGTTACATTACAGCATATACTTAATTTAAGCAAAAATTAGTCCTTGAGGGACAATTTCAAATTCACAGCAAAGCCTACTCAGCGTGCGTTACTGTACAAAATCACTCTTCTCCATTTTCTGAAAGCTCTCAGCTTTTCTTCATGTCTCACTGTGCCCCAGAGGTGTGTTATCTCACTGTGGCATGACTGGCTCTGTCTTACTGCTTAGCTGTACAACAGTAGATTTATCTGTTTACTAGTTACTATTTGGATTCCGATATCTACCTATTTGGGACTGGTGTGAGGAGTCCAATTTCCTCTTTATTGTATGCTATTGTGTTCCTGTCTTTTCTTATAAAAGGACTTGCATGAATGGTGTCAGGAGTACTGTAACAGTTAATATTCATTAGCATTTAGAAGAGTACTCTCTTTCCTCTTTCTATGGATATTAAATTAGCTGTTATTACTCAGTAATAGGTAAGCAGTTGTTAAATCCCATCAATACTAAGTAAATCACTTTATTAAATGTATTCAAATCTGTTTTTATTGTATCCATATTAACTCCTTGGTTCCTATGGGTTTGGGAGGATTAATTACTGAGAAAGTATGTAGTCATCAAAATGTCTGACACCTTTGCAAAGGGACTCAGGAAGCTCCTCTCTTCATTTGGGAAACAACCATAATATTCCCAAACTAGAGATTAATATATTGAGATTAACCCTCTGGTAAATATTTAATCACATATGGTTTTATATTACAAAACGTGGATGAGGTTTTTGTGTGTATTAATATGAGAAAATGCCTCAATTTCCATTTAAGCTGTATTGAAACAAAGATTTGGGATTTTTTTTAAACAGCTGAAGTTATGTTTCTAAAAGGTGTTACAGCAATAGCTCTGCAGACTGCAGTCCTCTGATGATACACAGACCATACAGCATATGTGTACACAGAGTACGGGAAGAGTAAGTAATACAGCAGAGATAGCAGCAGTGCAAGCTTCCCCATATGTTGTGGTTTGCACAAATCACCTCCAAGCTACAACACTTCCAATTGCTGTAAGGCAATATCCCTCTTCTAGAGTAAAAGGCTTTGTTGTGCCATCAAAAAACCATGGGATTGAACAATGATACTTTCACCCCTAACCTGTGGTAACAGCTGTGTCGCTGTTTTGCGGCCACAACTGCCGGGTGAAGAGATTTAGGGAACGTTATTAGTTCTGGATTCCTGATGCTAGCTTGGGCCACAGGAATGTGTTATCTATGTAACAGGTAACTGCACCCTCCTGAGTCTTGCATCACTCACCTACAGGCCACCTGGACATCTCTGTCTTCAGGGCAGGATACCCAAGAGCAGACTTAATGGGATCAGAACATCTCTCTGTGCATCTTTTAATCTATCCAGAATGTCATAAAATTGATGCACAAAAAATCTGCCCAGTAAGGAGCTGAGAAGGGTATCCAGCCTTCTCTCTGACGTGCAGATGGCCAAACGCAACCTTCTGCACCTATTTACCATTCACTTCGGTGCAGATGTTTATGGGTGCGGATGTTTGTCTATCCTGCTGTCAGGGCACACTCCCCACTTTTAGGAGTTTAGTTGGCAGAGTTCAAGGTCATCTCGTTCATGTCTGAGCCGCGCAGCACCCACCTTGCAGCTACGCCCACACCCAGCCTCCTGCCGCCTTGATCCTGAGCTGCGTCCTGACCCCCTGGCTTGGCTTCACTCAGACCTGCCTCCTTCCCATGGACCTGCCCAGCGAACTTGGGACCAAGGCTGACCCTGATCAGGGCCTCCAGGCCCCACCCTGACACTGGATGCGTAGCATCCTGCCTGCCCTGCTGTCACCCTCAGTCCCTGCTCACCCCCTTTGCGGGAGCGTTCTGCTGTTTCGAATGACGTCCATAATGGAGGCTTTGGAGCCACTCTCCAAAAGCTATTCCAGCACTTTGCTATATTTGCATCTAGAAGGCTTTTGGGCATGTGGCAGAGGTTTTTGATGATCTTAACTTGGTGTTTCTTGCTGCATTTTAAGAACGTTATTTCTTGTCCTGTCATTCAGTGTAGACAAAACAGTTTATATTCTTCTTTGCATTATCTGCACTAAAAGACTGTATTTATGTCTCTTTCAGACTCGTCTTTTAAAGCTAAATGATCCAAAGAATTTAGTAATGCCACATTCATCAAGTGGTCTAGATCTCACAAAGGATCATTTCATGAATATTGAAAGGTTCATAGCTTATTATTATAGATCTTTATACTTTGTTTGTCTTTCACCCACCCCACCCCCCACCCACCCCCAACAAAATGACATCATGGAATCATGTTCAAATCAAAGACCACTTTTTTGTAGAACTGTCCTACCAGTTATTCCCTACCCTCTCTGGGCAGCTGATTATTTCTGCTTGTAAGTATTACCTTGCTTTTCTCTCTGTTTAATTTAATCTTATTTTTTTTCCAGATCACTTTTTCATTTTAGCAAGCTAATTTTTAATATTACTCCTCCCACTAGGTTCTATCTGAAACAACCACACTTCATATCCAACCATTTGGACAGACTTGATTTGATCCAGAACTGACCTTTATAGAAGCCATAGTGAATCTTTTCATTCTGCCAGGTTTGCAATCACCCTACAAGAATTTTACCTGTGCAGTACTTCCCTTGCTTACCCAGGAGAATGGAGCAGGAGGACAGCAAAAGGTTTTTTAAGACAAAATGCATGTTCTCTTTTGCTGGTTCCCAGCCCACAAATAGAGTAGCCAAACCCCCATTCTATACATGGAGCCTTCTCTTTTACTCAGGGAAGCACAGGCCCACACCAGGAAGTCTTTCCTTCCAATGAATGTGAGTGAGCTTGCCAGCTACTGACCTGCACTGTAATTTATCTGTTTTACGTTCCACAGGAATGGACTGTGGGAGCGACATAACTTGTTATGGACAGCGAATGGAAAAATCACCATCTGGAGGAAGGATTTTCAGTTGCTATTGTCTCAATGTAGGTAAACAATAAAAATTGGATATGGGTCCTATATGACCAAGCCATAAAGATGTACAGTCTCATGGATTTTTATTCATTTGGATTACAAAAAACTTGACTTTGGGCCTGACATGTGGCAGCCTTGGCAATTAAATGTGTGAACATCGTTAAAAAATGTATACTATATAAGAACATGTATTTCTCAAATGAACAATGAACATCTGCAAGCTTTAAGTTATACCACAATACCTAAACCACAACTTACCTTTTGAGTAAGTAGAGCCTGAACAACCTGATTAGCTACCTGAAATAAATAAATAAAATAGTTTAAGTATGTTACCGTGTGTTTATGCATAACAATACCTTCTTTTGTGGCTTTACATTCCACTTTCCATCTACAACCACCACCAATTCTAGTATTTTCATTATTTACTAGTATTTTCATCAGGTAATACTAGTAAGAATACATGAAATGCACGCTAACTACTTCTGTCCTAGTCCTCATTATAAACAAACGTGTATTGTATCAATTGCAGTATGACATGATGGACATTTGGTTAACTTCTGTCATCTCTTCTTTGGACTAAATTAAAACCTCACAGTCCTATATGCAGCTGGTGTGCATCAGCACGGATTGCCTGCATTCACTAGAGCTGATTTTTACCAGTCGAGGATGGAGTCCTGAATGTTTTCATGAAGTTTAATTGTTTGTTGATTCAATATTGATAAAATGGTACATCTATCATGACAAGCAGAAACCATAAAGTGCCACAGAAAATTAAAGTACCTACTGTCATCAGAATGTGGTTGGAAGGCATTCACACCACATAGCATAATTGACTTGAATGAGATTACACACCATTGATTAGTAGAACTATATATTCAACTGGGAATTTTTGAAGTTATATATTTAATACATCCTTTCTAATTTATATTTACCAGCAGGCATAGGGGCAGGGAAGGGGAAGAAGGAGGGACAGAAAGAGGGACTGAGATAAGATTTTCTGTTGACAATGTCTAACTTGTATGTTACATTTCTAATGTAATTTAAAACTATATAAGCATATGTTATCACACAATGTGTTTGCCTATATTTTTGCTCTTGCATTTAGGCAGAGCAACTAGAGATCTCACTCTGTGCAAAAAGAGACAGTAGTTATGATTTCTGGCTTGGTTTTGGCTTTCAGAAATTACAGTAAAGCATATGCAGGTATCACCAAATCTGCATTGATTCTTCTTACTCTTGGCAAATTAAAAGAAAAAACCCCACACCATTGATGTCAACTGAGTTGTGAGGAAAGAGTTGAAGCTAATTCATTTCTGTAAATAATTCAATTCTGTTAGATCTGAAAGTTACATTTGATTCATACTCTCATAAAATTGCCTAGTATCAATTTTTTTTCTCCAAACTGGTCCCTAACTTAAGGCAGCCCATGGAACAATGGTCCCATAAAATAGCTCTATACATGATTTAACAGAAGACACAGACTAATATTAGAACAGTAATAACCAACAGAAGTAAATATGTTACAGTTTTGAAGAACCATGTGCCTTGCCCTATAGGCTTTCAGGATCTACATCCGACAGTGTTCTTTCTGGCATGTACTTTTAACGTCTGTTTGCTCTACCTGAAAATTGAACAAACCATACCAAATACATTATTTCTTTACTTTCTGACATGGAGTTACTTTACCAAGGAAGAACTAAAACGTTCTTTGAAGTATGTACTAGTCACTCACAACAGAATAGCCTACTAAATTACTCCTATAGCTTTATATATTGCACAGAGGAGTGTAAATGGCATAATCTTCCAAATGGGAAAAAACTGAACTTGCCGATGCATATGTGACAAATTTTCCAGCTTTGAGTGTATGAAGTTAGGTATCTAAATGAAAGCACCTGCCAGTGATCCATAGCTCCCATAGATCTCAATGAGATATGTTACTAGTTTCTTTACAAAATGAGGTTGTTTTATTCTAGTATCTAGCAACTTGGCAAACTGCGTTGCTATTACCATTCAAAGATTTTCAGGTCTGTATTCTTGGTTTTCAGCAGGAACAGAGATGGGAAGCCTTCAGTGAAATGTTCTGCAGTTACTAAAATTAATTTAGCAGTCATTAAGTGGAATCATATCCAAACTTTTGCATTTGAAATGAGGTTGCCATTCCACTCCTACAGCAGCGCTAGTGTCCAGATGGAAATAAACTGCTAAGCTAGCAGATCTACTTAATTTTTAATTACAGGTATCGAGACACCATGGATATGAATGAACAACATAAGCCAGCACTACAAAACTGACAACAACCGAAAACTGAGGAAACTGAGACCACTGAAGGCAGAGGGACTGACTTATGAGATGCAGAATATGTGAAATTCCCACTGATATGAGGCAGAACCGCGGCTCAATCCCAGTAAAAAGCAGGCTGTAAAATGTGATTTTGACCTGTGATTCATGCAGTTAATCAAGGTGAAACAAGGAATAGAATAGAGATGGCCGGTTCCTTAGTCTGCTGTTATGTAGGAGATGACACTGCTTGCCTTCACACTGCCTGCCTTTCCTTTGAACTTAATAGCCAAGATCTTTAGGTGAGGTTTCCTTTTGTGGATTGCAATAAAAGAGAGAAAAGATCCAGCTTCACTTTTTCCTTACACAATTATGTTTACATATACATGTTATAAAGTGGTCTTAATAGAAAAGGTATAAAAGAATGAATCAAAGAAAAGAGACCCTAGTATAACAACTGTTATACCTTTTACAAGTACTGAGATTTTACACAGCTGCCTTTAACTTATGGTTTCATTCGCACAAAGACATTTCAAGTGTACTAAAACGAAAGGTCTTATATTTTATTCAAATCTTAAAAATAGAATGCCTTTTTAAGGTAACTTTGTATTTTTGATTAGCTAATTCTTAAAATATCAGCAAAAATATAATCTATCCTAAGTTGCACAATTTCCTGCAGGTAAGTATGGCGAAGTTTGACAGAAATCTCAGCTGACACAGTGATGTGAATAACCATGACATTGCCACTTACCAATAAACTGACTGCTGAATTCCAGGATAGGAAACTAGGATTAAGCATGTTAACCTCAAACCCCAAAGGTACAAGACGGCAATCCTGGTTTTTGCATTAAATTTTTCAGTGACAGATATGTTTATGGATTATTTCTGAAATTAAATGAGCTCTTTTCTTATTCAGCAAGTACTGGAACATTTCAATGACACCTTCTTCCAAATACTGTTTTAAAGTTGTTTATATGTACACTTCACAGGTGAACAACTACTTTAAAAATCAGTGAATATTTATTAAAATTCATAAAGGACTCACTTCAGCTTGACCCATATCCTTTTCAGATTTCATGTCTGTGAACATTTGAGTTTCACTGAATTTTACTATGAAAACGATTACAGAGCATGCATTTTTAAGTCACAGGTGCAAGCATTCATACATTAAATGTGGCACATTATATGAATGAAAAGAACTATGTAAAATCATTGATAAAAAAAGAAAAATGAGAGAAAATAATGGCAGGCATAGCTTTAAAAACTCAGCTCTGGTATCTTTTTGTCACACGTAGACAGAAAAATCACGGTGGTTATTTTTACTACCTTCATATGCAGCTTAATGGCTACCAACACCTCAGCAGAAAGCACGCTGTGCATAGCAAGTGTCCTTATCACATGGCTGTAGAGGCCTGAGGGACCAAGCAGGGACACTATTGGCAGGGTGGCCAGATTAAATGATGGTTGAGTACCCTGAGCAGAGTTTGCCTGTGTCCAGGGAAGAAAAGCTGCAATCTGAGGATGCTCAATGATGAGTGAAAGCTGGCAGCATTCTCCCAATAGTTATCAAACGATGTTCCCAACCTTCATTACCTAAAAGGCCTGTCAAGCATCCCAAACATGTAACTAGCCAGAATGGTTAGGTACTAGCTTTGGAGGTAAGCACTCCTTGTGTATCAGCCCAGGAGAAGTTCAATACACTCATAATTAATCGGACTTCAGAGGCAAAATTAAAATAATGGTTGTAGTAGGCACTCAATTTTTTTGGTGGCAGGCTTAGGTGTCTCAGGTTTGGGTGTGATCACAGCCTCGTGTTCTCAGGAACATCTGTGTTCCTCCCTTTAAACCCATCAGGTCTCCCTGGGGCAAAATGGAGCTGCAGCACAGACCGATACATAGCTGTTGAGGATACATCTGCTCCTAAAAACTGCTGAAGAAGTCCTGAAGCCCAAACTAGGGAAGGCCTGAAGAGATTTTCACCTTCAAGAAGTGGGGTTGGTGTGAGAAGAGTTATGAACAGAGGAAGCATCAGACTTAAAGTCTTAAAGGAAAGAAATTTTCAAGTGGAAGACTTTTTTTTTTCCTTTTCATAACAAGATTTATGAAAAGCATTTTATTTTCTTAAGATCTCCAGTAAGAATCTGTGTTTGGAAAGGACTTTGTCACATACAACACATCCTCAGAAGACTCTGGCTGGAAGTGAAGGTTTTCACAATCATTGATTGGGTTATTCACTAATTACATTTATGTCTCATCTCCTATCTCTTTATTGTTACTATAATGAAGTAGGGTGAGAACATGCGATTTCTTGTGAAGCTCCACCAAGGGAATGTGCTCAGGTGGGTGCTAACCTGGGACTCTGCAGAACTTGCAATTATTAAATATGGGTTTGTTGCCTGAGTCACTGGCAACAACTTCTTCACCTCAGTGATCAGAAAGGATTAGTTCCAAATTTGTGTCAGCTAAAACAATGCTGGTTACAGTGCCACTGCCAAAGCATTGTGGGGGCTGAAAGGGGGAGAAGAAAAAAGTGATACCAAGCCATGGGGAAGGACAAGAGAGGTCACTACACACAAAACAGAAGACAAAAAAGGAAGAAGATAAGCAAACAAAAAATCAAGCAGGGAAGCACAAAACCACAAGTGACGAGAAGCTCTTTCTCCTGAAAAAGTTGACACAGTGGGAGAAGATGGATACAGCGGTGGTAATATGGAAGAACTGAAAACAGCCAACGTAACATTGAAGATAATAAAGTTCAGAGCATAGTTTGATCTAATTATTCGCTCTTTAAACTGCAACAGCGTGTAAAAAACACAACCCTGGATCAGAAATCTATCATGTTACTGCAAACACAATAAAAACTTATCTTCTGTCTATATAATCTGTATGGAGTGTTTTGCTGGAATGAACAATTATGGTGCTTTACTGATTCCCAAAATTAATTATGTAGGCAGATTTTGTCCTAGACAATCAGAAAACAATTTTAAGTTAAGCCCTGTAATTTAAACTGAAGTTAATAATTATATGGTAATTTCATCGTTATCACCAAGATATCGAAATATCATTCAAGTGTGCATTGAATGGAGTGACTCAGGCCAATGCAGACCAAGGCTCTGCCGGTATCCCAGTGCCACAGAACAGACAGAGCATAACCTAGTGGGAAAGTGTATCTGCAAGTCTTTTACTCTAGCTCCCTGATAAAAATATGCTATAGTGGCAAAAGTGCAGATTTGCTGATGAAAATTTGCACTAAACTGGAGGCTTCTTGTAGCAGAGCTGTATTGCTCATGCCAGTAATACTTCAGCAAATGCTGATTAAAAATTCAAAAAGCTGGTATGAAGACATGAATTGTCATCTGTTATGTGTGGTTTGCACACTCACGCACTCTTTTCTCAAAGGTACACCTGAGATGCTGGTGTAGTTTTTGTTTTGTTTTGTTTGCATGTTAGCTAACTACTTATGCTACTATGCATTCTTCTTATGGAACAGGTAAATGATTTCTACTAAGCAACTCTTTGAGCTACCAAAAGTCTTAAAACTATTTTAAGCTCTTGTGTACGCTGAAGAGCCTTATTTCAGGGTAAATAGGAGGAACAAGTAAGCATCAGTATATATATGGAGAAAGCTGACATTTCTGGAATGGTAAGCATTGCTAGAGTGCTCAGAGAGTAACTGATGGGTGAATTATATTGTAGTTGTAACTGAAAAGTCTGATCAGAAGCTGAGCCACGCAGCAGAAGTGAGCCAACAGCTAGAAAAAACCCAGCATAAAAAGCTGTGTGTGTAACCCTAAGGGAGAGCTTAGAGACGAAATTCCCCGGTTACAGAATATATTACATAGGAAAGCTGGGGGATTTTTGACGGAAGAAGCCACTGCCACCTGTGTTCCACTCTACAGAAAAGGAGTACACAAAACCTAATAGGCAAATTACCATTTTCTCCTCCTCATGAAACCAAACCAGTGCCAAATATTGGTCACAGGGATATCAACTTTTTGGTGAAGAGATGTGGTCAAAACAGGATTTACAGCAGAGGTCATGGAGAGCAATATCTATGACTGCCAGACACATGTTCTTGGAATTAATTAGAATGAGGTTATACTAGAAAATTGCAGAACAACGTCAACCTTGTAAGAGAGGAAGAGATTCATTTCTATTCATTTAATTATAGTACCAGGTAAGAACAATCTTTTTATCTATCCACCTTACCTCATCAAGACATCTTTCATACTGTTCTCTCTGATTTTCATTTTCCAGAGCCAGCGCTGAATTCTCTGCCTACAGTAAAACAGAATAAATAAATAAATACGTAAATTAACCAAAGGGTATCTTCTACTACATGACAATTCATAAAAATTCTCAGGGTGCTTACTTTGTGTACTTCTTTAAGATCCAGAATGAAAAGCACCATACAATTTATTGTGCTACAAGTTGCTATTTTGAGTAAAATCAGAAGCAACATTCATTTATGAGATTATTCACACCATGCATTACAATTTAGAACAATATCAGAGCAGATATTCCAAGTATGCCCACAATCTCATCTTGTCAGGTGCAATAGAGTTGGCAATGAAATATTATAGAAGATACTGGTATATCTTTTCTTCCTCTCCCTTTTCTGTTTAGAGTGAACTTGCTATCTGAGAAAGCCACTTGGAAGCAGAGGCAGCTACTATCAAAAGGAAACAAAAGGCAATCTTATGTTAACTTTTAACTGCAGCAGCTCTTCATAAGCCTGGTTTCTGCAGTGGGTAACTCCAGATGCACCGGTCATACTATAGCTAATTGGTGAATTACACCCCTTAACTGAACCAGATAAATTTATTAGTCTTTACTTAAAAAACAATTCCTATCATTTCAAGAGTAAAAGAGGTATTTTACTACATCTAAGTGCAATCTTAAGTCAGAAAATTTCTCTCCCACATATGTCAGTTTAAATATGATAGCTTCCTGTATAGTAGTGCCTTTCATCTATCTTTAATTTCCATTACACTCATATTTTTGCATAGAGCAAACTTCAAAATGGCACAATCTGGTATGTAAATTACAGTAAATCAACGTATTTTATCATATATTATGACTTGACTTTAGGAATTCTTTCAGTATTGGAAAAGGCAAATCTCTAAAGTGTGCTGTATACAGTGGCATCAGAGCAAGTTTCAACTAGTTTTCTCTTAAAGACTGAGAAACTAAAACAATATATAAAATTAGATGAGTTAAAACTGGCTCTAGAAACCTCTCTGCCTCCCATGCATAACTTCACATCACGTAACCATAACACCAAAATCAATGCATTCACGTAATTACAACTATTATACAATTTACATTATTTGCTTCACTTTAACCTTCTGTCAGCCTATAAAAGTAAAATGAATGCTGTTTCAAAAGAACTGTGGTTATACAAAGCAACAGTCATAAATATAGTTAACATCTGTAATTATAGAGAAAAATTTAATGTAATGTACTGTATGGAAAGATTCTGTGGAATGATGCACAGTTCTCTCTTCCTTGTTAAGAAAAGTCAATCATTCAACAAAATGAAAATCCCAAAGTCCAATACATTGATTCATTAACAACAATTTCAAATTCAGCTAAATCCTAAAAATAATATTAGGAAGAAAAAGTAAACATAGATAATTATCCAGTATATTGAAAGAGAATAAAGAATAAAAGGGAGGTAAGAAACAAGGGCACATTGAGTTTACTTATTTACAAGTCTAAATAAACAAGTGTATGGAATCCGTGCTTTATCTTGAGGGTACAATCAAAGCCAGCAAAGGTGGTAAAATGCTCTGCATCATATTATCACAATGTCACCTACCAATGGATTCAACATATGGCTATAAAAAGTCTATGGGTGATCCTGCAGAGAGCACTGTGAGATGAGGCAGCAAAAAGTACAGATGCAGAAGTAAGTAACAAAGTAGAAGCAGAAGCTGCAAAAGCAAAAGCAGCAGTAAGAAATCAGAAGCTGGAGGGTAAATAGTCCTCCATACTGAAGAGGCTATCATATACAGGTATCAGTTTGCTTTTATAGAGACATTCTTGCAGATTAATTGATTGATAAAAATAAAAAGATGATCGGTACATAAAGATCTGTTTCTATGAGTTAAAGATTTTCAGATGTTTTCTCTATGACTATCACCCTAAAATGCCATCCAAAATAAATTCTTATCATAGAATCATAGAATAGTTTGGGTTGGAAGGGACCTCTAAAGGTCATCTAGTCCAACCCCCCTGCCGTGGGCAGGGACATCTTCAACTAGATCAGGTTGCTCAGAGCCTGGTCTAACCTGGCCTTGAACGTTGCCAGGGATGGCGCATCTACTACCTCTCTGGGCAACCTGTGCCAGTGTTTCACCATCCCCGTAAAAAATTTCTTTCTTAGTCTGAATCTACTCTCTTTTAGTTTAAAACTATTACCCCTTGTCCTATCACAACAGGCCCTACTAAAAAGTCTGTCCCCATCTTTCTTATAAGCCCCCTTTAAGTACTGAAAGGCCGCAATAAGGTCTCCCCAGAGCCTTCTCTTCTTACTGTTTTGAAGCAATCATTAAAGGATTAGTCTGCACAGCCTTTAATTCATTCATGTTGGTATACCTATGGGTTTGATTTTTTTAATTTTCATTTTCACTAACATAAAAATATATTGTATGATTTTATCCTGAAATAGTTAGGGCAGACTGCTCCCACATAGGGATGTCGAAAAGAACTACAACACACAGTTGTAGTATACAAAATACCCAGAGAGCTCCCCATATTTCTCTTACTCCTTTTTTTTGAATGCTGTGAAAATGGAAGCTAAGTCTTCTTGGATCTGTTAGCTGAATCTCCGATTTCAGTGAGCTATTCCTTTACAAATAGGCTACCAAAATTAGGAAATCTGAACTTGACAGCTTTATAAATAAATGCTACATTTCCCCTCTTATCAAGCCACAGTGGAAACACCTGTATAATAAAGCCCTTTTTCACACCACTGGCTTCGAAAGTGTAGTGAAAGGATGTAATGCAGTCACTGTTAGTTTGACTTTTGTGCTTCTTGATTGCCAAGCAAATCATGCCTATTTATTTGGCATTTTTGTAATGAGGACTGGACTAGAAGGGAACACTTGAATGACTTTTCTTAAGATCCTGTGCCAGTTCCCACAACATGGGAAAACCAGTACTTGATATACTAAATCACTTGATATTGCAACTGAATGCTTGATAATAATCCTCATTCCCCCCAAAGTATTCATTTGGAAAATTTGTAATAGCACTTGTGGTCTCAAAACCCTGCCTCCTAATCCAAACCTTCAGTTATTTAACAGAAACCACTGGGTTTTGATGTTACTGTAAACCTGCTTAATTTTTGCTCAGAGGGATCTGCCTACCTCCAGTATTGCATATTCCAGGCGTCTTTTGCCAGTTAAGCAAAGTAGGTCTCCTTGGAGGAAACCACTATTACATTTTATTTTCGCTTTTATTTTCAGGCCATACTTACACTAGGCTAAGCTGCAATAAGAAGCCCACGCTTCTCACAGCATGAAAGCTATTGCACACTTGCAGGCACCCAGAGGCAGTGGCAGAGAAGTACTGACCCCTAATGTAGTCACTTCTCCCATACATAACCTAGCAGGGGACTAGGCAGGAAAAAGCCTAGATTACAGAGAACAGTACTCTCTTAGATATCAACTGATTTCTGTAGTGATTTCTAGTCTTAGGTATAGCTGTCCTGTAGGAATTTATGTATATTTTATGTTACACATAGAAATAAACCATCTCTGTCCCTAAGCCTCGCAAACACTAAAAGTGATGCAGCCCAGCAAACTGCTGCAGACAAGCGACATTCAATGCCTGCCACCAACGCCTACAGGCAAGCATGTCTTTTCTTGGGGGGTCAGCTCTCAAAGCACAGCATCATTCAGTCAGCCAAAAATAACCGTGGCATAATTTACCATTAAAGGAAACATTACATGTTCCTTTTGGATCATTATAGATTCAAGGATTCTACAAATGTCAAAACAGAGGTACTTCCTAGTTCTGATTTGAAAGAAAGTATTTTGCACAAGAGTCTCTCCAAACATTGGAAAACTTAAAGGTTTCAATCATGACTTGGATAATGCTAAACAGCCTGCAACTGCCTTAATTAGAGACAACTTTGTTCTGAACTGTGAGACTGAGTTTATGGAAAATCAATCTGAAAGTGAAAACTTCAGACTACTTTGTATAAAACAGAGGTTGCCTTGTATTGATACCATTGCTAAGATACAGCTATTCTGAGAGCCTTTGTCAACTCCAATTTTAATCCCTTTCTCAGGATGGAAAACATGGCCCTAGTAATGACGAAGATTATCTTCAGGTCAGCTAAGAGCTTTCTCTCTCCCTCATAGATGTTGAAGAACACTGTGTTTTCTCCTACGGGCCAGCTGTTTGCACTGTTTCATTCAAGACTAGTAACAGACAGACTACACACCTGATGCGCTGAAGCCCAGTCCTGTTCCTGCTAAAGTCAACAAGAATCTGCCATTTATTTCCCATGAGTGTAGATGCAAGTCAGGTGCAACGAAATGAACTATATTTGTTTTCACATTACACAATGTTTCCTTAAAATTAATTAATTTTCCTTTGGGGCAAGAGGAAGTTCCTTGGTTCACAATGAATTGTTGTTCATGATGCTATAAAAGAAACAAGGAGACAGACGGCAGCCTTAGCATTTTTCATGTTTCTAAAACCATGTTATATACTGGATCAGTAAAGGCAGGCCAATTAATTACATTTCTTAAAAAAATTTCTAAAATGGTCATGTCTCTACAACTACCTGAAAGGAGGTTGTAGCGAGGTGGGTGTTGGTCTCTTCTCCCAAGTAACAAGCGATAGGACAAGAGGAAATGGCCTCAAGTTGCGCCAGGGGAGGTTTAGATTGGACATGAGGAAAAATGTCTTTACTGAAAGAGTGGTGAAACATTGGAACAGGCTGCCCAGGGAAGTGGTGGAGTCCCCATCCCTGGAGGTATTTAAAAGACGAGTAGATGAGGCACTTAGGGACATGGTTTAGTGGACATGGTGGTGTTGGGTCGACAGTTGGACTCAATGATCTTAGAGGTCTTTTCCAACCTCAATGATTCTATGATTCTATGATTCTATGTTAATTAGCTTTAGGATACCCTTAACACCAAAACACAAGAAGCATCCATTCAGGCAGTACAACCACCTAAACTTTAAATTCTTGCGAAAATGCATCTTCACCTGAAGTGTAAAATGCATCTCAAATATATCCTTAATGTGGTCATATTTAC